TCTATAATTAACTAATTAGATTTAATATAACCATTTGTTAGGAATTAAAAAAAAATACATTTTAAATATAAGTATACCTATACATTTATATTCCTTTTTATTTAAGAAACTTTACAGTAAAATTATTCCATATATATAATATTTTAAATGTGAAGCTGTTTGTTATAAATATTTAATGTCTGAGGTTTCCATATAGTAAATAAACAATATTTAAATATTACTTCAATCACGTGACCAAGTTATATATATATTCCCTAGCAGACGTGTCTTTGGCGTCATGGCGAGTATGTGTGCTATAGTATGTATATTGTGTGTCCAGTATAGACTATATTAGTAGATATTGTTTCTTGTTGTTTTATTTATAATAAAACTCAATTTAACAATCTTCCATTTATTTTTAATAACTCACTAAGTTATTGAAAACTTTTTCCAGTAGTTTTAAACGAAATATGTATATACATAAAATGTAAATAAGTAAATAATAACTTCTGAAGTTCTGAAAGTTAGAATTAATTTGAATAAGAGTATTTGAGTAAGTATGTGTCCTCTATTGATAGATCTCAACACTATGTACCTTCTAAAATTGAAATTGAATTATGAATTTAATAGGTTATTCAAATATCAGCCCATAAATTAAAGCAATATTGATTAATTTTATACTGTTGTACCATAGACCATTTTGAACGTTTGCGAGACTGATGTAAACAATAAACTATAGTGTTAAGAGCACTATGAAAACCACAACAATACTGAATAAATATTCATTTGTCAAATTGTATCGTCTGAAGCTACCTGAAAGGGTGAGGGAACTATTTTAAATTCTGCTTATATCCTCAAATTTTTTGGACAAATTGTGAATCACCCCCTATAAACATAATAAAAATTCAAGATACAGGGCGTTTAAGTTAAATAAAATTATTTTCATTTAGATAACTCTCTGAAGCTGTTAAACCATTTTTTTATTACACTAGAGTATTCTAGAAACAATATTAAGAAAATATTGTTGTTAAAATGGACCTTTTCAAATAGTATCAGATATTTTATTAAAAAAAGAACGTGCTTATTTTTCCTCTAGTCTGTAGCTTTATAGAAAATCTTATTATAAATTATTTTACCTACGTTTATTTGACGTCCTGTCACTATAAAATTTCATCAATTTTACATTGTTAATAAAGTGCATTTTCTTTATTTTATTATTTTAAAGTACAATTAAATAATTGAACATATCATGAACATATGTATAAATAAAAAATATTAATTTGAACTTTACGTGAAATATTATGTATGAAAATCTTATGTTTCATACTCTCTTTGAAATTTTTGAAATATACTTCTGCAAAAAATTAAGGGAGCAAAAAAATTTTTCGAATTATTAGTGATTTTTCAGAATGCTGTATCTCAGTTAAAAATGATCGTATCAAGGTTTTAAAAAAAGCATTTTAAAGCGCCGAATGTCTAGTTTCCAGATTTCTTAGTTCAAAATTTTTAGGAGCGATAGTCATCGCGAAATTCTAAGAAATAAGACTAAAAA